CCTCAGCAGTGAAGCCACCTGGCGGTGCACTTGGACACACGGACGAGGAAAGAATTGCCGGTTTGTCACATAGGTGTTGTCCCCTAGAATTTGATTTGATTTGCAAATAAGCAGCCTGGCGGGTGGACTTTGACCATTGATAGAGAGAGCTCCGTTCCACTGTTCCTGTCCTGGTTAGATGTCCCTGTTAGATCCTGGACTGATGAGACAATTTCCAGTTATACAAACAAGTTCCTTCATTTCCTGTTGCCAGGATGCACTGTGTGTATTTTTAATAGTAATTGAGGAAGGCTGTTTGGTTGGTCTCTCGGTGAGTTTCCTGGTCATCTGTATATTGCAAACTCCGAAAAGACAGAACAGAAAAGTTCCATAAAGAAACACAGCTTTATTGAATGGGGAATGCAGGGAATCCTATATTCCCTTTGATATATTATATTGATACATTGTTATATCAAATCCAAGGATTATTATTATTATAATCCTCCCCCTCAGCTCCTGTTAACCCTGCAGCCAAAGCCCTAACGGGGAGGGTGGTCCCAGCTGGACAAGCAGCGCGAAAGCTTGGCCAGACAGCGGCTTCAATGGCAAACTGTGTGGGTTTACAACAACAACAACAACAACAACCCATTTATAGAGCGCCTTTCATGTCGGGAGGACGTCCCAAGGCGCTGTACAGTTGGCTCAGGACCCGAGCATTGGGGGGAAATGGTCAGGGTGAGGGTTTAGCTGGTGGTTAGACTCCAGCAGTTACCCCAACGCACACTCTGGGATCCCCAAGCCTTGGCTGTTGCCAACCTGCGCCTAATACTCTCTGGAATTAGGTAAACAGGATGCGTCCCTCCAGGGAGAGAGAGAGAGAGAGAGAGAGCGCATTCCATTCCAACAATCTATCTGTGGGATTTCTATGTGTAGGTGGGATGCAGGGAATTGTCAATTGGGTTTGGAGACTCTTAAGCAAAGGTGATGGGTGTGTTAGTCAGGCACCGGCTGATCACCCAAAAATTGAGTGTCACAACACAAACAACTGCTCAGTTTGTTAGAAGTTGTGGCACCGAACATGGCAATGGATCATTATCTGCCATGAAAATGATCACTCACACTCTCACTCACACTGAGCCTCTGGACGTCTAAACAAAGTTAAAACTTCTCAATACATTTATCATCATACTTCCACATGTTTCAGGTGTTAGTCATTGCACTGCAGACGAAACAAAATTAGGGTAACAGGACTTTGGGGACGCCTTGTACAATAGGGGGAGAGAGCAGAAACCAGGAGATCGCTCTATCACATCACAGGGCCCTCAGTGACCTGCTGACTCTGTGCCGACAGCCTCACCTCACAGTACCTGAACTGATTTACTTATTGGATTCATTGCAGCTGGTTTCTAGGAAACCTGCTTGAGGGGAATGGTCTTCGTGGTGACTGGCTGCCTGGAATGATTAGCAAACTGGGTGTCGCTTTATACTGGACAAAGGGGGTGAGGTGTAACAACAACAGCTTGCAGTTATATACCACCCTTCATGCAGGGCAGCATTTGGGAGCCCTTAACAGTAATGGAGCCTGACACCAAGCCGGGAGGAGTGGGTAAGCACGGTCAAAGAAAAGGAGTAAAGGGGTGAGGAGTAAAGGCTGAGCGCAAAACAAATCCCCTCCCTCTGCCAACGTAATTGTAACCAATTTCCAAGTTCCTCCCACACCTGAGCTGTGCACAGACAGACAGCGCTCTCAATGGTAAGCTGTGTGGCTTTAGCTGGTTATACTCCAGCAGTTACCCCAACGCACACTCTCGGCTCCCAAAGCCTTAACTCTTGCCAACCTGCGCCTAATACTTTCTAGAATTAGGTAAGCAGGATGTATCCCTCCAGTGAGAGAGAGAGAGAGAGAGAGCGCATTTCCATTCTAACGATCTATCTCTGGGATTTCCATGTGTAAATCTCAGTTTGGTTTGGAAACTTTTAAGCAACGGTGATGGGTTTCCCTATGTGTCAGACACCCGGCTGGGCAAAATAAAGCTGTGAATGGCTCTGCATTACTCACCCACAGTCACTACACATCTTAACGAGTCACATTCCATAAGTGCAAGAGACGAAGGCTGTTGCTAGGCTTTTATCGTAGTAATAATTTTTGCAATTGATACAGCGTCTTATCACATCTTCAAGACATCTCAAAGCGCTTCATAGGAAAGACTGTAAAGTGAATTGAAATCCTGAAAGTGGGCGAAACGTGGCAGCCAATTGCGCACAGCAGCGTCCCATAAAGAAACAATCGTGGATTGAGTGACCAAATTATTATTATTATTTATTTATTTGAAGAGATTATTACTCCTGGAAAAGCGATCCGCCAGTCAACTAACAACCGGGTTCCAACTTGTCTAAGGTTTTGCCCGGAATGGAACCCAGGTCCTCTCACTTTTAAGCAATGGTGATGGGTTTCCCTATGTGTCAGACACCCGGCTGGGCAAAATAAAGCTGTGAATGGCTCTGCATTACTCACCCACAGTCACTACACATGTTAACGAGTCACATTCCACAAGGAAAGTGCTCTAACCAGTGAGCTACAGGACTGGCAGTGCATCAATACTCAGGGGTTAATCTCTCTCTGAGATACGACTCTAACCTTGTCATCCCCGATGTTGCGAGAGTTATGTTGTCTGTTTATGTCCAGGAGCAGAGCTGGGCTGACTGTGTGTTCAGACTAATTTACACTGTGCCCTGTGTGTGCACTCCAAACAACAACATCTTGTCTGTTATTTAATTGGAATCATTTTACAATTTGAACATAAAGCAGAGCCTGCAATTGACATGCAGGAACAATGATCATTCTTTTTACCCCCAAGAAATGTCACATCTGCACGCAATATGTAAATATAAAGGCTCAATACTAAACTAGCAAAGAACCGGAGTTTCCAGATTATTCAGATCTTCGTGTCTGTGCTGGTGCTCGCTCCCCCACTGGAGCTCTCTACTCTAACCCCATTCCCTGCTCTCTCACCATCATGTCATTGCCAGTGACATGTTACCAAGGCTTTACCGCAGTGGCTGTTAGTGACCTGGGAGCATTCCTAAACGGTGGACGGAGGAAATCACAGTGAGGTGGTGTGGAAACCGAGATCCGTCTGTACTTGTTCTCTCCGCTGAAGCCGTGTGTGAGTGTGTACACAGCTGGGAGGGAATAAAGTACTTCATCCGCACACGTCAACAAACCTTAAGGCCCAGATCCACCCACAGTTGTAGCAGACAGATTTGGCACAAGAACCTAGTCTATGTTCACGTTGCCAAAACAATACTGCTGTAGTCTCAGCTGTGTACTCCCCCCTCCCCCTCCCTCCTTCTCCAGACAAGCCCTACAACTGTGCGGGCCCAATATCTCAATCTCCCACCACCTCACCACTGTGTCTGTCCTCACATCTGCCACAAAGTCTGCTGCTGTGCTGGAATTTAGATGTCAAATAGGAACAGGAGGAGGCCATTCAGCCCTTCGAGCCTGTTCCACCTTTCTAGAGGATCATTTCTAATCTACACTCAACTCTAATTACCCGCCTTTGCCCCTTATCCTCTGATACCCTGACCTAACAAACATTTATCCACCTCAATCTAGAAAATGTGAATGGACCCAGCAATATCTTCAGTCATGTAGAGACACACAAGCCAAGCTTCATTGGGCACAGTGTCCAGACTGAGACAGTGTGTGAGGTCACATTGGCCAGACATTGTTGTGAGGAGGGCCAGGCTGGCCAGACATTCCAGGCCGCCTGCTTCGTATTACAAGTCATCGTTAGTTATTCCAGTGATTTTATTCCCAAAGCAAAACTAAGCAGCAAAATGTCATGTCAGGTCACAGACTGTTTGTGTGTGGGCAGGTTCATTTCACAGTCTGCTCGTTTGCATGAATCACTTTAGCTTGTGCTGAAAAGTACTGCTATTTATTGCTGTGCTAGTGTCTGAGGCGAGGTATAAGAGCCTCTAGACATCTGTTCTATGCCGGATAATGCACAGGTTTGCAGGGGTAAGTAACCCTCAGAGGGAGTGGAAATATTGCCCACAAAATACACAGTCACTGCACTTTACAGTATGTTCTGCAAAGCGATTTCAGACATCTCAACGGTGTGATAAAGCGCTGTGTAAAGTGCAAGGATTATTATTATTGTATAATTTAGGTAATCATTTAAAAAAAAGTGTAGCTTAAACTCAGTTCTTCCCTTTCCCTTGATTGTTGAACACTGCAGCTCGGTGCCAAAATATAGCAACAACAACAACAACGTGTATGTATATAGCAACCCTCACACAGGGTAGTGTCCCTGAGCACATACACCACCCCCCAGATCTGATTAATATCTGTGCCCCCAGTGTTGAACAGGAAGTACGTTAGCACGCAGTGTGTGATTGCATATGGTAACGTACACAAGGAAGTAGCTGAATTTTATATATGAATCACGAGCAAAAAAAAAATAGCTTGAGTTCAGAGCTGGAACATCTCATTGCCTCTGTGTGTGGGGATGTATTATGGCAACAGCTGTGTCAGCATCGAACGGCTCACAATCTGGCCACAAGCAGCAGGAACTCATAACACAGGACCCTATCCTGCGTGAGGGGCAAGTTGTTGTTGTGGGGTACGGTATACAATAAACCTGATGTAGTTGATTGCTAAGGATAGATTTTCATTTATAAACCAGGAACAAAGGTGCTTTTGATGTAGTTCAGAATCATCTACATCATTGGATACTGTATTTACTGTATTTGGAAAAATAATAATTTTGCGAAACACCCACTCCCTCTGAGTGTTACTTACCTTAGGAAAATACAGCAGCGATCTCAGCTGAATGGCCAGACGGGCCTTGGAGGAGGCAAGGGCCAGAGAGACAACAGTGGTGACAACAGTCACTCAAATTTTACTGCTCTGATCGCTGGTTGTCTGTAATGGTTGGCGATTCAGAAATGCTGTGTGAGTTCACCATCGGTAACAGCTGGAGCTCACGCTGATTGAAATGTTTGGCTTTCAGATCCAAAAGGCGTATTCCCAGAGCAGCGTGGCCTGCCTGATGGGGGATGGCTTGGTCTCTGGCCCTGGAGATGCTCTCGAGGTCCTTGACTCCGTGAACGCACCGCGGAGGGAGGACGCCTGCTGGCAATTCAAGACACAGATTCAGAAGCTCACTGAGCAGGTACAGTCAACAACAACAACTTGTATCCATTTAGCGCCACTCACACGGGCAGAGATTCGGAGCACTTGAACAGGCACTGAGCAGGTCTTTGGCTTCTGAATGCATCTCATCATTACCATGCAATAAGATGAACCAACAAGTTTAGAACCAATATTCTACTACCGTCTGTCTCCCTTCCTCCCTCCCTCCCTTCCTCCCTGCCCCCAGCTCAGAATCAGGCTCCGCCAATGTTAAGCACTCTGAGACACTGCCCCGCTAGAAGGGCGCTATGTAAATGCAAGTTGTTGTTGTTGTAACTACACACAAAACGCTCTGGTGTTCTGACGTGATGAGACACTACAAAATGGAGGTTAGTCTTCGTACAACATTCTGTGGGTGTGGTCAGGGCTGGTTGAATGGTGATCAAGCGGTGACGGAGTGGGGGTGGAGGGGGTTACAGTGCAGACAGGTATGAAACACCCCGTGGTAAAGCCCTGGGCGGTTTGGTGAGGGCTGAGCTGGGGTTGGCCTCGGTACCCGATTAATTAAACATGAATAAATACCGAGTCATAAACGTTGGAACATGAAAAGTGTAACGTTCACTATGAAGGTCTGTCCATTAACATTCACTGTGAAGAGCCGCACATTAATAATAATATTAATAAAAATCCTTGCATTTGATATTACGTCTTATCACATCATTGAGACGTCTCAAAGCGCTTCACAGAATATACTATAAAGTGGAGTGACTGTGTATTTCGTGGGTGAAACGCGGCAGCCAATTGCGCTCAGCAGCGTCCCACAAACAGTGACCACATTTTTTTTGGAGGGATTATTGTAGAGTCCTGCAGTGTATCGGCTCTCTACCTCAATCCTAATTACTTGCTGTCTCTCCCCCCCTTTTTACACTGTTCCTCTTTAAGTGTTTATCCAGTTCTCCTTAAACATTGCTCTGCTCTTGGCCTCAGTTGCATTCAGGGCAAAGCATGTGGTGTGTTGTCTAATGGAGATGAAAGGCTACACATTATGTGGACTTACTGTCTCTCACATGTCTTTGAGGATAAAATGGTTCTTTCCAAAATTATCACACTCTGGAGGTGGAATTTATTGAGTGAAGTGGATGCTGAGAGGGTTAGGCTGGATTAGATACCTTCTTCCACCTTCTCAATCACTGTCTTCGGTCACACAAACTCTGTCCGAGCTGTAGCCCTTGCTTTTGGAAAGTTTCCCGTGTGTTTCTCAGTGTGTTCCCAACCAGAAATACACGGCACAAACAAACAAATTCAGACAATCAGAGAAAATATATTCTGAAAGATGTCTTTTCTTTGTTGATTGCTTTTTACAGATCTTATCAAATCGATATGAACAAGACATGTCCATGGCTGTAAAAGGTAAAGCTGTAATATATTTACGTTCTGCTCTATAAGGTCGAGCCTATCTCCACTGAGTTTATATATTACTGCATCTGTCAACAGCACCTAATCCCAAAGCCAACTGCTTACTGTCACTGACCATTCACACGCACACATTAACACTAATGTACATACCTAATCACACAGTCTAAGCTGATGCTGCAATACAGCAATGAGGGGGTGTTACATTGTCAGAGGTGCCGTCCTTTGGATAAGACGTTAAACCGCGGTCCTATCTGCCTGTTCAAGTGGACGTTAAAGATCCCGCAGCGCTATCAGGAAAGAGAAGGGAGTCTCTCTCTCTCTCCCGGTATCCTGGCCAACAATCTCCCAAATAAAATTGGTCACTCACTTCATGGCTGTTTGTGGGACGCTGCTGTGCGCACTTAGCTGCTGCGTTTTGCCCACAAATATACAGTCAATTCACTTGTATATTCTGTGAAGCGCTTTGAGACGTCTCAAAGACGTGATAAGGCGCTGTATCGAATGCAAAGATTATATATTATTATTTCCTTTCAGGTGAAATCTCCCGTTTCCTTGATTACCCAACCCAGACTCACACTGATGTGCGGCCTTCCTCACCCAAGGTGGCAGCTCATGTGACTGGAGACTATAAGGGTGAATTCGAACCAACAGGAGGTAGGCGTCCATCCTGAAACACAGCATCGCAAAGCAGACCTTACGGCAAAGTCTTAAGATGCTAAAAGTCACAGAGGAAGTGAACCTGGAATAATACTTTCAGATATGTCAGGAGGTCATGTGGGTTTGGGTGATGAATCGACAATTTCAGGGTGGTCAACAGGGCGCATTTCTTTACATAGAGGGTAATCTGCGAACCTCTTTGAGGCTAAATAATTTGGAGCCCCATAGCATATTGGTTAGAGCTCTCACCTCACAAGCGAGAGGACCCGGGTTCGATTCCTGGGCAGGGAAAACCTAGGCAAGTTTCCTTACTCCGCACACCTCTGTTTATTTAGCAGTAAGTAGGAACCAGGTTGTTCGTTGATTGGCGGATCGCTTTCCGAGGCTAATAATCCTTTCAAAAAATAAATAATAATAATAATTTTGGTTAATCCATGACTGTTTGTGGAACGCTGCTGCGTTTAATTGGCTGCCACGTTTTGCCCACAAAATACACTCTACAGTATATCCTGTGAGACGCTTTGAGACGCGATATCAAAGGCAAGGATTATTATTATTATGATCCTGTAATAGGGAGATGTTTGGGTTAATATTCTGGGTGAAGTCAAACTGGCGTCTGACATTCCGACCTCTCTGTTGATGGCAGGCCGAACGGTGAGAGAGCTGCACGGGCAGAAGATAAAGACCTGGGAATCTCAGCGAGGCTTGGCTTTTCTGTACAGCGTGGAGTACGAGGCTGGAGAACTGATCATCCCGAGAACGGGTCTGTATTACATTTATGGTCAGACATATTTCCGATATCGTGAGGCCGAGAGCGATGACGACTCCCAATCAGGCGACTCATACAGAACCTCCAGAAACAAGCAAATGGTTCAGTACATTTATAAAAAGATCAACTACCCCGTCCCCATCCTCCTGATGAAGAACGCGAGAACAACCTGCTGGGCCAAGGATTCTGAGTATGGATTGTATTCCATTTATCAGGGTGGAGTCTTTGAACTCAAATACAGAGACAGGATATTCGTCACCGTCAGCAACGCTAGTCTGATTGACATGGACGGAGAATCCAGTTACTTTGGGGCATTTCTCATCAGTTAAGAGATTGGCGACAGAAATCCCCTGGGGTAGACTGTGCAAATCGGAGGTTCTGCTGTGATCCTGGTCAAAGCAGATCTTGTAGGAAAGGAGCAGAGGGCACGGCAAAGAACAACTTGACATCTCAAAGCTTACGAATCACAGGAGTCCCATAGCATATTGGTTAGAGCCCTCTTCTCACGGCGAGAGGACCCGGGTTCGATTCCCGGGCGGTGGCGAAACCTTAGGCAAGTTTCCACGTGCCTCTGTTTACCCAGCAGTAAGTAGGAACCCGGTTGTTTGTCGATTGGCGGATCTCTTTCTGGGGGTAAAAAATCCCTTAAAAAAATGATAAAATGAATAATTTGGTCACTTCATCCCTGACTGTTTGTGGGACGCTGCTGTGCACAATTGGCTGCCGTGTTTCGCCCACAAAATACACAGTCAATTCACTTTAGAGTGTATCATGTGAAGTGCTTTGATACGTTTCAAATAAGGAGCTGTATCAATTGCAAGGATTATTGTTATTATTACAAATCGTAGACACCCTGCTTTCTCTTGGGCTGACCCTTAATTCTCTCTGAGGACTGAAAGAGGCAGCTCAGAACCACTTGATGTGCTTTTGGGATTGCGTCACACACGGCTTCAAAGCCATAGAAATTGAGAGCCATTCAGAAAAATATTCTCCTAATTTACCCCTTGCCCTTCCCCCTGGATTGTATGAATTTGGTTGGCTTCATGGTGCACGAACATTGTGTTTGCCAAAGCCCTCTCACATGAGGACCTGAATAAACCAGTAAGCCTGGGTACGTGGCAATGGACTTGGAGCTGGAGAACAGCGAAGGGGCTGGCACGTCACAAGCTGCCCTGAACCACGCTCAGGGAACATGTCTGTCAGATGTTGAGGAAACTCCGAGGCTTGGGACAACAGCTACTGGAAGTCAGAGTAAAATTGGGCCTTTTTAGCACAGCTCTAGGTGGGTTCAGTGTGGCAATGGTCACACTTGACACTGAAGTCCTGTAGAGTCCTGTAGCTCAGTGGTTAGAGCACTCGCCTCGCAAGCAAGAGGACCCAGGTTCGATTCCTGGGCAGGGCTAAATGTTGGGCAAGCTTCCTTACTCCACATGCCTTTATTTACCTAACAGTGAGTAGGAACCCGGTTCTTAGTTGACTGTCGCTTTCTGGGGTATTAATCGCTTCAAAAAATAAATAATAAAAATAATAATAATAATTTGGTTACTCAGTCCATGACTGTTTGAGGGACGCTGCTGTGTGTAATTGGCTGCCACATTTCACCCACAAAATATACAGTCAATTCACTTTACAGCTGTCTGCAAGACCTGATAAAGCGCTATATCAAATGCAAGGATTATTATTATTATTGTTATTATTCAACAACTAAACCCTGAAATTCATTTCCAATGCCAAATGTTTCACTCTCCAAACAACTACAGCGGGAGGTAACTTGTCAAAGCAGGTAAACCACACCTCTCTTTCCCCAATTCACAACACTTTGTCAAACTGTTCTGTTATTTTCTGCGTATGGGACAATGAATTTGAATCAAACGTTTTCAAGCCACTTATGTTTATATGTAAAACACTCTGTACATAAATGTAAATTGCATTGTAAATATTCATTTTGCTCACAAAATACATAGACAATCCAATTTACAACAACAACAGCTTGCATTTATATCGCGCCTTTCAGTGGGGTCATGTCCCAGAGCGCTTTACAATGTATCCTGTGAAGCGCTTTGTGACGTCTCAACGACGTGATAAGGCGCTATATCAAATGCAAGGATTATTATTGCTGTTGTATATTGTATTGCATTGTATACCAGTAATCAATAGCAGGGGCTCAGGGACATTTGGAAGAAGGTTCAAAGACCATTGTCTTCCAAACCGCTGGTAAATGAACTGAGCCCTAAGTTAAACAAAATGCAGAATACTGCAAATGATGGAAATCTGAAACAAAAACAGAAGTCACTGAGAACACTCAGGCAGCATCTATGGAGAAAGGAAAGTGAGTCAATGTTTTGGATCATTTCCTTTCTCCATAGATTCTGCCTGACCTGATGAGTGTTCCCAGCGACTTCTGTTTTTCTTTGAGCTCTAAGCTATTCAGGGACATTAATCGTTGAGATTTTTTTCATCCTTATTTCGTACAGACTGGAGAGCGATTCTCTGTGTTTTGTTGGCATCCCCAGTTAGTGTGAACTCGATCAATTGTAGTGTAGCTGCTCACACAGCGTCAGCTGTGGAACAGGCTCAGAGGGAGCGATGGCAAAACACTGCAAATGCTGGAAATCTGAAATAAAAACACAAGTCGCTGGGAACACTAGGAAGGTCAGGCAGCATCTAATGAGAGAGGAAAGTGGGTTAATGTTTTACGTCTGAGAAAAGATGATTGACCTGAAAAGTTAGCTCACTTTCCACTCTCTATAGATGCTGCCTGACCTGCTGCGTGTTCCCAGCGACTTTTATTTCCGAGGGAGCAATGATTCAACTAGCAAGAAAGCCCCTGATAGAGTGGAGCCAGACAAGCTGTAGTAACTCTCTCAAGCGTTTTTAAATGAATGTACAAATTGTCCTATCTCCTCGCCCCTCTCTAGGATTGGATACCTAGAGACTGTGACTCACTAACCAGGCACCGCAGCTATTCACCGTCAGATAACATGCTAATTCACAAGTACAGCGCAGACACTGACTGACCACTGTGTCAGAATTCAACAGTAAGAAACCTTAAATAGATTGAAGCCTGGCTCAGTCGGCAGCTCTCTCACCTCTCAATCAAAAGGTTGTGGTTTCAAGGTTCATGTTGGAATTTGAGCTCCAATAGTTGCAGCATAGTTATTAAGAGAGACAATTCATTGTTATAATATTATGTATTACTATAATTATTATAATAATTATAGTAATAAAATAATAACCCCTCAATGAAAAATGTGGTCACTCAATCCACGACTGTTTGTGGGACACTGCTTTGCGCAATTGGCTGACGCTTTTCGCCCACAGAATACATAGTTATTCCACTTACCGATATATTCTGCAAAGTACTTTGAGACATCTCAATGACGCGATTAGGCACTGGATCAAATGCAGCGATTCTTATTATTGTCAAGGATGTCGTCCTTTGGAGAAGACGTTAGACCGAGATGCCACCTGTTCAGATGGGAGTTAAAGATCCTGTGACATGATTGGAAAAACGAGAGAGAAAGCAGTTTCCCCTGATGGCCTGGCCAACAATCCAGAATGAATTGGTCACTGACCTCACAACTGTTTCTGGGACTTTACTTACGAGCAAAGTAGTTACTGCGTTGACTTAAAAAAGGCACCTACCAGGACAGTCATTACTTGTGTCACGCTTCCAGACATTTTGAAGTTCAAGGCGACATAATAATGCACGATTTTCTTTAAAGGTCATTTTCACTTTACTATATTAACACCTGCAGCAAACACTGAGTTCACAGACAATACACATGACTGTGTTCATGATGGATTCTCCTCATTTACTGTGTATATAAATAATAATAATAATAATAATAATAAATAAAAGCAGGTTACGTTCATCTTTGGACAGTGACTGATCCTGTTTTCTGTTGGCTGATACATTACAATAAATGTGTATACATCATTGGCTGAAGTGTTTTTAATAAATACTTGTATGAAATTGTAGCTTCCGCATTCAAGCCCCCCGGTCAGGACTTGGAATCACGCAGTCTAAGCGGATGCTCCAATGCAGCGCTGGGGTGGGGGGGGGGTGTTGCGTTGTCGTACATGCCGTCCTTCAGATGAGACTTTTAAATCGAGGTCCTGTCTGCCTGTTCGGGTGGACATTAAACATCCCACAGGACTATTTGAGGAGTTTTTTCTGGTGTCCTGGCCAAAATCCCCCACATAAAATTGGTGACCCACTCCATGTGCTGTTTCATTTTGCCCACAAAGCACACAGTCACTCTACTTTAAGCCAGTCCGAAACCTTGTGTCTTGTTTGACCCTCAACTATCCTTTCTACCCCACATCCATGCTCTGCCTTCCCCCACCTCAGCAACTTCACCCGGCTCCTCCACTGTCTCACACCGCAGGCCACCGAAACCCTCAAGCACACTTTCATAACATCCAGGCTTGACTATACAAGCTCACTGCTTGTCGGCCTCCCCAACTCCTCCATAGGCTGCAGATCATCCAGAACTCTGAAGCCCGTGTCCTCTCCCGCACCAAACTCCATGACCCTATCACCCCCATCCTCACCCAACTCCACCGGCCTTCTGCCACTCTGCCCCCACCCTCTGGAACTCCATCCGCAGTCCTTCCGCCTCACCCTTTCCCTCGCCTCCTTCAAGATCCATCTGAAAACCTTTGCCTTTGACCATGCTTTCGATCACCCTCCTTCCCCCCACTTGCTCTCCACCCTTCCCAATCCCGACCCCCAGTTCGGGTCCAAACCACTGACTGTCCAATGCCTTGGGACGTCCTGCCGACGTGAAAGGTTTACAAGTGCAGCTCTGCTAGGCTCTCCTCATCACTGAGGTCCTGGTACTGTCCTTATGACTCTCTGCTCTGAGTATGTACCAACATATCAATGTCCTCCTGAAGGGAGATTGCTCAAAACTGGGTACATTATTTCAAGTGACGGCCTCACCCGTGACCAAGAAGAGTTTAGAATTACCTGCTCTGACTGTAATCAGTGCGTTTTATCTTCCACCCGATCGTTCATAACCATAGTTACCACCAAATAACCAATTTCAAAAGGTACAAATCACATATGTAACAGGATTAGCTTTGCTGTGCTGTCAATACCAGAGATCCCAGAAACTCATCAGTGTCACAAAGCAACCACTAGATGGACATGTCAGACTGTTGCTCCACCTGAAACCTCCTGAGTGGTTTGAGTCGGATTACAAAGTGGTTGTGAAATTTGCCAAGAATTGTCAACCATGCTTTTTCAAATCAGACATAACAAAATATATTTCTCATGTATTGCAAGATACTGTTATTTTCTTAATCTGTTTTTTTGAAAGATTCGGATACTCAGAAATACATTAAGACGAGCGACTAACAAGCGGGTTCCTACTTACTGCCAGGTAAACAGAGGCGTGTGTGTGGAGCTAAGGTTGCCTAAGGTTTTGCCCCGCCCGGGAATCGAACCCGAGTCCTCGTAATTGCGAGGTGAGCGCTCTAACAAATTGCGACATCCTCCCATAGTGAAATATAAATGTATCTTGTTGTTGTTGTTGTGTTGTTGTTGTCTAACCACTACACTTAGGGGCTCCAGTTACCTTACTCCACACACTTCAGTTTTGTTTACCCAGCAGTAAGTAGGAGCCCGGTTGTCAGTTGATTGGCGGATCACATTCTGGGGGTAATAATCACTTAGAAAAATATTTGGTCACTCAATCCACAACTGTTTGTGGGACACTGCTGTGCACAATTGGCTGCCCACAAAATATACAGTCAATCCACGTTTGAGTACCCTCCTTGCACAAGGACAATCCACTTTACAGTATATTCTGTGAAGTGCTTTGAGACGTCTCAACAACGTGATGAGGCGCTATATCAAATGCAAGGATTATTGTTATTATTATTATTAATGAGTTTTTAGAATATGGAATACTTTACCAAAAACTGCTGCTGAAGCTCAATAACACTCTCTAAAAGGGAAGTGAATAGGGACACTGCAAAAGATAATCTTAAAGGGTAAAAAAAATATGCGGGTGTAGTGGGTTGAACTCAACTGGAGCTAAACTGCTAACATTAACAGAACACACCAAACTATCACTTGCTTCTGTGCTGGGGTTATTCTGGGATTCTATGGTGATAAACTAAATAGCTAGGATTTCCATGTGTAGGTGGGAGGCAGGGAATTCTCAGTTGGGTTTGGAGACTCTTAAGCAACGGTGATGGGTTTCCACACGTGTCAGACGTCAGGCTGAGCAAAAACAAAACTGAAATATCGGTAAGGGATCAGGGAAACTGCAGGTCAAAGACCATCTGAAGGACAAAAGCAGGAGAAGGGCATAGGAGGGATAAAGTAATAGATCGCTACCACTGTCCAGTGAGTCAGGAACAGGGCATCAACTTCACGTAATCACAAAAGAGAAAAGAGAGGAATTAAAGAGAAGTTAGAAAAAAAAGTGTTTACCAGAGGGTGGTTGGATTACGGAATTTTCTGCCATAATTTTTTTTTGGCCAACCACAGAAACCCATCACCGTAGCTTAAGAGTCTCCAAACCAAGCTGAGAATTTCTTGACTCCCACCTACACATGGAAATCCCAGAGCCATGGAATGGAATGCGCTCTCTCTCTCTCTCTCTTTCTCCCTGGAGGGATGCTTCCTGCTTACCTAATTCCGGGGAGTATTAGACACAGGTTGGCAAGAGTCAAGGCTTGGGGGGAGCCCAGAGTGTGCGTTGGGGTAACTGCTGGAGTCTAACCAGATAAAACCACACAGCTTGCCATTGATATCGCAGTCTGGCAAACTTTCCTGCTGCATCTCCAGCTAGGACCGCCCTCCCCGTTAGGGTTAATAGGAGCTGAGTGGGATGACGCCCTGCCCCAGTGACTGGTTTACCCTTCCATGTTCTGCTGATAAGCCAGGCCGGGCTGTGCTGCCATCAGCAGTGAGTGCCCTGGAATACTGAGGACCCTCCTGGCTCAGGAACTGGAATAGAGACCGTCACAGAGGGCTGACTTGATTCCGACATTCCATTGGCAGGCAGGTCACCATGGAGCCAGTTCAGCTCCAAGGAGATCCCACATCTATGCAATAAGCCATAGTTGAGGTAGAGTCTATAAATCCTTTTCAACCGGAATTGGGAGAGTGCTTTTGTGGAGTCCTGTAGCTCAGTGGCTAGAGCACTCGCCTTGAAAGCGAGAGGACCTGGATTCGATTCCCGGGCGGGGTGAAACTTCAGCAAGTTTCCTTACTCCACACGTCTCTGTTCACCTCGCAGTAAATAGGAACCCGGTTGTCAGTCAAACGGGTAAAAATCCCTCCNAAAAAAATATGCGGTCACTCAATCCATGGCTGTTTGTGGGACGCTGCTGTGCGCAATTGGCTGCCCCAAAAATATAGAGTCAATTCACTTTGCAGTATATTCTATGAAGCGCTTTGAGACGTCTCGGTGACCAGGCATTATATCAAATGCAAGGGTTTTATTAAAAGAGGATAAAGTAAATTGGGGAGGGAGCGCGGGCGAGTAAGGAATAGATGAGGCAGCTCGTGTGGAGAATACCAGTACAGACTCGATGGGTTGAATGACGTGTTTTTGGCGTGTAACAATCTGCGCTTCTATGTACATAAATACTCAAATACATTAGTTGTGTTTATATAGAGATGCATCCGTGGTTCTGTTGACCAACTTCCTAATGAAATGGAGTCAATGTCGCTTTAATATCCAGTTAGATAAACACTCCGCCAAGTAGCATGGAGCCTACTTAACACAGGGATGACAGTGTCTGCAAAATAGTGCAACAAATCAGACCCTCTCAGCACATTTACACCTTCTCCTGGGAGGGAAGATTAATATACGGGGATTGGCACAGTTTTTAAACGTCTCGATTCCTGTGAAAAGACAAGTAACTTGGGATCAACTTCTAAGTGAAAACAACGCGTGTTGTTGTTGTTGTTGTAAATACGTAATAAGTAGCATTTAGGCATCTTCCAAGTAACAAAACGTAAGGTCTGAGTTTTACTTGAGCTCTGGGGATGATGCGGGAAGATGGCATAAAAGCAAATCCTCAGTGTTATATCGACTGTGCGTGTCTCAAAAACTCACTCAAAACACTGATTTAAGCCACGGTTCCCCCATTATCATTTGATTCATCGGATAACATCTATCAATATGGTAAATGTAATCTGGGAGGAAACTTAGTTCCATTCTCAGTTAATCTTTACCCTGTTTTGCATTTGTTAGAACCATAGAAACATAGAAACAGGAGGAGGCCATTCAGCCCCTCGAGCCTGTTCCGCCATTCTATAAGATCATGGCTGATCTGTACCTCAAGCACAAACTCATTCATTCTATTTCAATCACTGAGTGACATTGAACTACTTTTATCTTTTTTTATGTTTTATTTTATTTTATTGGTTGAGGGAGATTTTATTACAGTGGTCAGTCATTTTTCATTGGATGTCCAATGATTTATTTTATTTCATTTTCTTGATTGTAAGAGAATTATTTCCACTATTGTTCAATACTTATTTAATTACGTGAAAATCACCTTGTTTTCTGCGTGTTACAGATATTGATATTAAATTGGCCAAACAGAGAAGAGGGAGTCAGTGTCTTGTACATTCTCTCTCTCCTTACTCCTCCTTTCTCTTTCTCTCTCTCTCTCTCTCTCTCTCTCATTATTATCACATTAGATGTTAAACGAGCCCTGGATCAGTCTGAGCAGAAACTCACAGCAGATGACTGGTGTTTACAGCACTGTCAAAGGGACTTACATTCTGCTTAGAAAAGGTTAAGCGCATTAGGGATCTGCCGTTCGAGGACAGTCCTGGAGCTGGGAACATCCAGGTGGGATCAATACAGGCTTCAGGACACCACAGAGCACAGCTGGATGGAGTCTGAGTCTCCGCCGGTGGTGGAGGAAACGGGCTGAGAACACACTTTGCCTCTGTAGAGGGAACATCTGTACTCCTCTTGTCGCCTCTCACCTCACGCTCCAGGCAAGCCTTTGACACTGCTCCCTACTCTACTTTCCGACCCGACATGACTCGTACCTTGCTGCTGCGTTATTGAGAGCTTCACCGAACACTTGCACTGAAAGACGCTGTTTCCATTGACTGAGATTTGCTGCTGTTGTTCTGGTTGTGGAAAAAAAAAGCAGAAAATAAGAAATGGAAATCATTGGAAAAACTCGAGAGGAAGGTGGAAAAGAGAGGGACTGAGTGTGTACAAGTGAGATGGATTTGGGACGGTCTTAGCTCGCTCTAAACCGTCTGATAATTGTCGAACCCCCCCTCCATCCATCCCTCCCTCACTCACTCACTTAGTTGCAGAGGGGACCTGGGCTGTAGAGCCAGACTCCCAAGTCTTTGTGTCTTTAGGGCTTAATATTAATAATAATAATCCTTGCATTTGATATAGAGCTGTATCACGTCTTTGAGATGTCTCAAAGCGCTTCACAGAATATACTGTAAAGTGAATTGACTATATATTTTGTGGGCAAAACACGGCAGCCAATTGTACACAGCAGCGTCCCCACAAACAGTCGTAGATTGAGTGACCACATTTTTTTTATTGAAGTAATTATTACTCCTGTAAGAGTGATCCGTCAATCAACTAACAACTGGGTTCCTAATACTGCTCGATAAACAGAAGTGTGTGGAGTGTGGAAACTTGCCCAACGTTACGCCCTGCCCAGGAATCAAACTCAGGTCCTCTCGCTTGCGAAGCCAGTTCTCTAACTACTGAGCTACAGGACTCTGAGCGACAGTGTGTAGGCCACACTCCAGAGACTTTGTGCCTTTAGATCTTGGAGATATCTGCTCATTACACTTTCCATCCTCTGATCTTTGGTGCATCAGCGTGCAGACCAGGAACAAGAAGGCACCAGCTATCTGGTCCCCAACCAAAGCCCCAGCCAAACAGCCATCATGTCCAACTCCTTCAACAATGAAAGCTGTGACCAGAATTGCAGCCTGGACGACTCAAAATTTGAGGATGATTACTATCCAGTCAACCTCTTCCCAATCCCTATTCTGACCGGGATAACGGTGATCTGTGCTCTGCTCTCCTTGATCGGGATAACGGGGAACATAATGACTATCCTGATTGTCTCGAAGTTCAGAGACATGAGGACGACCATCAATTTCTACCTGTCCAGCATGGCGCTGTCTGATCTGATGATCTTTATGTGTATGCCCTTTGACCTGTATCGGATCTGGCAGTACAGACCCTGGAATTTTGGAGTGATGCTCTGTAAGATGTTCCAATTCATCAGCGAGAGCTGTACTTACTCCACCATCCTCAACATCACAGCGCTCAGTGTGGAGAGATACCTCGCCATCTGCTTCCCTCTCAAAGCCAAGGTTGTCATCACCAAGGGGAGAGTCAAAGGCATCATCCTCTTCCTCTGGACAGTAGCCTTCTTGTGCGCTGGACCCATCTTTGTCCTGGTTGGGGTCGAGCATATGAATGGGACAGACCCACTGGAGACCAACGAGTGCAAGGCCACCGAGTTTGCTGTCAGGTCGGGCCTTCTGAACATCATGGTGTTGGTTTCCAGTATCTACTTCTTCCTGCCTGTCTTCTGCCTCTCCATCCTCTACAGCCTCATCGGGAGGAAATTGTGGAGGCGCAAGAAAGAAACAATCGGTCCAAACCTCAACAACAGGCACAAGAATAACAAGCAAACTATCAAGATGTTAGGTAAGGTGACTCTGTAAAGTGGGACTTTTGTAAAGGTGGCATCCTTACAATAATAATAATCCTTGCATTTTATATAGTGCCTTATCATTTGATACAGCGCCTATCACGCCTTCGAGACGTCTCAAAGCACTCCACAGAATATATTATAAAGTGAATTTAACTGTGTATTTTGTGGACGAAACACGGCAGCCAATTGCCCACAGCAGCGTCCACAAACAGTCGTGGATTGTGTGACCAAATTTTTTTAAAAAGGGATTATTATCCCCAGAAAGTGATCTGCCGATTGACTAACACCTGGGTTCCTACTTACTGTACAGGTAGATAAACAGAGGCGTGTGGAGTGAGGAAACTTGCCTAAGGTTGCGCCCTGCCAGGGAATCAAACCCGGGTCCTCTTGCTTGCGAGGCGAGTGCTCTAACCACTACATAAACCATATGTACTACATATGGGATGTCCTCCCGATGTAAAAGGCGCTCTATAAATGTAATTTTGTTGTTCTTTTGTTGTACACGTAAAAACTTGTTTTTTTTATATGTAAATATATATGCAGTATAATTTATTATTTATGGCTTGCTTCTTTAAATAGATGTCTTAATGAAACCGTGTTGACCAGATCTTTCCGATGTAGTAAACAAACATATGGTGCAGTGATGGAAATCAGCAGACTGTGACCTTTTTATCACTAAAATGGATTTAATCAAGGCAGCACACTGGGTTATGTATTTGCCATTGTAATTGCATCCTTACCAATGTAATCAGAACAACATCAAGCAAATTAATGATTATAGTGTGCATTGCCTGAGTGGCAGAAAATGTGCAACAAAGTACAAAGTCAGAACAATTTGGGCATATTTCTATTCCTGACTCATGTTACATTTACGGCTTATCAGGTGTGAAACGCGAGCTGAGAAACAGCAAACATTGCTGAGAAACTGTTGCGTTGCTGGGGTTTCTCATGAACACGTTGGTTGAAATATTGCACAGTCACTCCATTTAAAGTGTATCCTGCGAGGCGCTTTGAGACGTCTCGAAAACATGATAAGGTGCTATATCAACTTGGACAATAGTAATATAATAAATATTATTATTAAGGATTATTATGGTTGTGTATGTGACATTAATCAAACCTCAGATTACTGCACACCGATTTTGGGGGGAGATAATTTAGTGTTTAAATCTTGTGATGTGTCGTGGAGAATGGGAGAAGACAATAAAAACATTGTGTTGCTAACCGGAGGTAGCTCCCTGAATATTAGTAATAATAATCCTTGCATTTGATAAAGCGCCTTATCACATCTTTGAGATGTCGGAAAGCGCTTCACAGAATATACTGTAAAGTGAATTGACTGCATATTTCATGGGGGAAACTCGGCAGCCAATTATGTACAGCAGTGTCCCACAAACAGTCGTGGATTGAGGGACCAAATTATTATTATTATTTTGAAGCGATTAATTCCCTCTGTAAAGAGATTCACCAATCGACTAAGATTCGGGTTCCTACTTACTGTTAGATAAACAGAGGCGTGTGGCGTAAGGAAACTTGCCCAAGGTTTCGCCCCACCCAGGAATCAAACCCAGGTCTTCTCACTTGCGAGTGCTCTAATCACTACACTACAGGACTCCACAAAGAGCCATGAAAAAGCATGAAACATCTTGCCCTGTATCAGTGAAGCATCTCTAATCTCCTACTTCCTTCTCATTAGGCTATGGAGTGAAAGGGATTCGATGTAAGGAAGATATAAGCAAAGCTGTCAGGAACTGTAAGCTATGCTGTAATTGTACATGATGATGTTATGAAGTAGTGCTGGAGTGTGGAGAGCAAGTGATAACCTGTATCTGACACTTGAGAGAAGTTTACTCAGTGACATAATGGACTAGTGTTAGTGAGTGTCTAGTGATAGCCTGTTAAACTCTTCAGCCTTGTAGTTAAATGTATTTCAAATAGTTAAATGTATTTGAAATTTACATTTTAAATCCAATAATAATCCTTGCATTTAATATAGTGCCTTGTCACGTCTTTGAGACGTCTCAAAGCGCTTCACAGAATAGAGTGTAAAGTGACAAAATGCAAAATGCTGCAGATGCTGGAAATCTGAAACAAAAAACAGAAGTGGCCGGGAACCCTCAGCAGGTCAGGCAGCATCTATGGAGAGAGGAAAGTGAGTCACTGTTTCGGGTCCACGATCCTTCGTCAGAACTGGGGTATGTTGGGAGAGAGATGCTTTTAAGGGCTAACATTGGTGGGAGGCAGGGCAAGGAGGACAAAGGAGAACATGGGGAGACGGCAGGGGATGATGGGTTACAGAGCTGATAGTGATGCAAAACAAAGGGGGGAATTGCAACAGAACAGGGGAATAGAGGGGTTAATAATGCAAAACGGGGGGTGGGAGGGTGGGGGGGACATGCAACAAGATTTTCCCCCCTTTGTTTTGCATCATTAACACCTCTTTATCCCATCATCCCCTGCCCTCTACCCCATTTTATCCTTCATCTTCCTTGCCCTGCCTCCCCCCTCTCTGTTAGCCCTTAAAAGCCTCTCGCTCCCAACAAGCCCCAGTTCTGATGAAGGGTCGTCGACCCAAAACCTTGACTCACTTTCCTTTCTCCACAGATGCTGCCTGACCTGCTGAGGGGTCCCAGCCATTTCTGTTTTTGTTTCGGACTGTAAAGTGAATTGACTGTACATTTTGTGGGCAAAACACTTCGGCCAATTGTCCCACAAACAGTCGTGGATTATTATTTTAAATGTACTGTCTTTCAAATCCTCTTTGAACCCCTGTGCCGTCGGTCACCCTCCTACTCCTTTTAACCAAAGAGGATTTCAAATACATTTCAAATGTAAATGTGTGATGTACACTGGAACGGACAGAGTTAGGAGGAGATTGTGGTTTGCTGGTAATTGTAAATTACAAGTGTAAGTGATTGTCTCCAGTCAAGATCTCTACAGTAAGTGGTAGAACCCAATGGTTGGAAACATTTTAAGAGAATAAACAGTGAAGAATCATTTCTACTGGTCGCTCATCTGGCAGCAAAGGTGCATAATTTGCGAGATTTGCAAACAAACTTGTAAATAAAAAAATCCTGTAACAACAACAACAAATGACATTTACGCAGCACCTTTCATGCCTGGAGGACGTCCCAATGCTCTGAACGATTTGGACCCGAGCTGAGGGTTGCGATCAGGAGTGGAGGGAATAAAAGTAATTCTAATCTCCAGCCTGACTTGAGGCTCGTTAATATTGTAATCATGTCTTCGCACCCAGCAGCCTGCTTATATTCATTCAGGTAATCAAATTTCTTTTCAATTTGTAAGACATTCAAATTACCCAAGTGACACTTCCAATTCCTTACAATCCCAAATGTCCCTGAAACCGTTCAGCGCATCAAAAAGCTTCGTCTTACTTTCTTCCAGAAAATTTTGACTGTTTTGACGAGACTGTGCAGAGCAGCAGGGTTAACAAACTCTCTCTTCACCTCTGGCAGCTTGTCTGAAAGGACTTTAGATGATAATAATAATAATAATCCTTGCATTTGATACAGCGCCTTATCACGTCTTCCAGACGTCTCAAAGCGCGTCTCCGATCACCACTTCATCTCCTTCACCACCTCCACCCCCCTCCCCACCTCCATCAGACCCACCACCATCTTCTACGGCCCCTGGAAGAAGTTACCCCCACAATCCCTAACTGCTGCTTGGAGTCCTCTGAACTCCTCTCCCTCTGGCCTTCAACCCTCACCGACCCCTCTTCTGCTCTCACCCTCCTCCACAACACCCTCTCCTCCACACTCGACAGTCTTACCTCCATCACCTCCCATACTGTCTCTTACTCTCGCTCCTCCCCCTGGTTCACCACCCACCTCCGCTCACTGAAGAGCCAGGTGCGGGGCCGCTGAACGCACCTGCGTCAAATCTGGCCTAACGGTCCACCGACAAATCTGGCTGGACCTCCTCAAAATCTACCGCTCCACTCAAGCCTCGGCCAAGTCATCCTTCTACTCCAGGACAATCCTGGAGGTGAAGAACAACCCCAGGCTTCTGTTTTCTACCACATCCCGACTCCTCCGTTCCCCCCCGCCACCCCGCGCAGGTCATCTCCTCCAACCTTCACTGCGAGGAGATGCTGGATTTCCTTGAATCCAAAATCAAGGGAATCCGCTCCGCGGTCACTTCCCCTCCAACATCCACCCACCCCCCACCCCCTCCCTCCCACACTCCGACTCCTACCCATCTTCCCGTACACACCTTCGAACCCGTTTCCCCACCCTCTGTCACCAAACTCATCCTGTCCCTGAAACCCACCACCTGCTCCCTTGACCCCATCCCCACTCCACTCCTTATCTCCCAGCTCCACCTCCTGCCCCACATATCACAGACATCGTCAACCTGTCCCTCTCCTCTGACTCTGTTCCCATTCCCCTAAAAACTGCCATCATCGCTCGCACATTGAAAAAACCCTTCCTTGATGCGTCCCAGCTATCAAGCTACCGGCCCATCTCCCACCTCGCCTTCCTGTCCAAGGTCCTTGAAAGAGTCGTCGCTTCGCAGCTGCGCTCTTTCCTCTCCACCCATTCATTATTCGAACCCCTCCAGACGGGTTTCTGCGCTGCCCATAGCACAGAAACCGCCCTGGTCAAGGTCACCAATGACATCTTGACCATCTGCGACCAGGGCTCCCTCTGCCTCCTCGTCCTCCTCGCCCTATCGGCCGCATTCGATACGGTCGACCACTCTATGCTCCTCCACCGCTTGTCCTCCCACCTCAACCTTCAAGGCCCCGTCCTTGAGTGGTTTAGGTCCCACCTCCATTTTGTCTCCGCTAACAGCTTTTCCTCCAGCCCCCGCACTGTCTCGTGCGGTGTCCCTCAGGGCTCTGTCCTCGGTCCCCTCCTCTTCACCCTCTATATGCTCCCCCTGTGGTGACATCATCCGCAGACATGGGGTTAACTCCCACATGTATGCGGATGACACCCAACTCTACCTTTCCTCCTCTACCCTCAACTCCACGACCCCCGATGTCCTGACAGCTGTCTGTCCGACATCGAGTCCGGGACAAGAGATAACTTTCTTCAGCTCAACGTGCGCAAAACTGAGGCCCTCCTGATTGGCTCACGTCAGGGCCTCCGCACCTCAGGCGCTGACACCATCAGCATCCAAGGCCGCACTCTCAACCTCTCAAAGCCATCAGGAACCTCGGGGTTCCCCTCGACCCTGAGCTGTCCTTTCTTCCTCATATCCGCGCCACAACTGGCACCGCCTTCCATCACCTCCGGAACATCGCCAGACACGGGACTACCTCACCCCTCACGCGGCTGAAACTCTGGTCCACACCTTTACCACCTCAAGGCTGGACTATGGGAACACTATCCTCATCGGCCTTCCCGGCCTTCCCTCCACAAGCTGCAGATCCTTCAGAACTCTGTAGCTCGTGTACTGTCCTGCACCAGGCTTCGGGACCACATCACTCCCATCTTCGCCCTCGCCCTCGCCTTCGCTCGTCTCCACTGGCTCCCCATCCCCCAGAGGATCGAATTCAAGATCCTCATCCTCACCTATAAGGCCATTCACAGAACTTGCTCCCTCCTACCTCTCTGACCTACTATCCCCCTACTTACCTGCCCGTACCCTCCGTTCCTCTGGCTCCGGTCTGCTCCACATCCCCCGCCCCAACTGCCCTACCATCGGTGGTCGGGCCTTCAGCCTCTCAGCCCCGAGGCTTTGGAACTCTATCCCCCAGTGCCTTCGCCGCTTCCTCCCTTTCCACCTTCAAGGTCGGTCTCAATACCTTTCTCTTCAGCCGTGCCTTCAGCTCCCCTCTCAACTCTCTACCCCCTCCTCGCTCCCTCCCTTCCCTCCCCTCACCCTGACCATTTCCCCCCTGCTTGGGTCCCGACCCAACTGTCCAGCGCCTTGGGACGTCCTCCCGACATGAAAGGCGCTCTATAAATGAAATCTTGTTGTTGTTGTTCTGTAAAGAGAACCGACTATGTATTTTGTGGGAGAAACACAGCAGCCGATGCGCACAGCAGTGTCCCAGAAACTGTCGTGGATTGAGTGACCAATGTATTTTTTTGGTGGGATTATTACTCCTGGAAAGCGATTGCCAATCGATTAACAACCAGATTCCTACTTACTGCTGGATAAACCAATGCTGGTAGAGTAAGGAAACTGCTCTACTAAGGTTAGAAACTAAGGTTTCTCCCCACCCAGGAATCGAACTCAAGTCCTCTCGCCTGCGAGGCGAGTGCTCTAACCACTACATTACATAACTTCACATGAGCCCCATGTCTAACATTCCTGTCTGTGTGTCTTCCAGCTGTTGTGGTGTTTGCCTTCATACTCTGTTGGCTCCCCTTTCATGTCGGCCGCTACCTGTTCTCAAACTCAGAGGCTGGCTCCCAGATCAGCCAGTACTGTAACCTGGTCTCCCTGGTGCTCTTCTATCTCAGCGCTGCCATCAACCCCATCCTCTACAATATCATGTCGAAGAAGTTCCGGGTGGCTGCCTTCAAGATGTTCCGAGTCAAGAAAGCCTCCGGAAGGAAGCCCTCCACAGTCAAGGAGGAAAGCTCGCAGGCCTGGACTGAATCCAGCATAAGTACTTGACAGAATGTTAAAAATATAAGTTTTTTTCCGCAGGATGTTATTTGGGGTGTGCTGTTACAGCCTGACATTAGCTGAAGGCAGAGATGGCGAGTTAGTAACAGACAGACTGCTTTCTCAGATCGATGCTATGTGATGTGTTGTCCAGAGACTTCCTGTTTTGAGATGAAAGAGTGACATTTATCACTGTAATATAGTAAACCTTCCACAAGATGTGTGACTGTAAAGAATCATAGAATCTTACAGCACAGAAGGAAGCCATTCGGCCCATCGCACCTCTTTGAAAGAACTATCCAACTAGTCCCACTCCCTCTCCCGCTCTTACCTCAAAAAACCCTGCAAATCTTTCCTTTTTAAGTACTTATCCAATTCCCTTTTAAAAGCTATTATCGAATTTGCTTCCACCAGCCTTTCAGGCAGTGCGTTCCAGACCATAACAACTCTCTGCTAAAACAACTGTCTCCTCGTCTCTCCTCTGGTTCTTTTGCAAATTATCTTAAGTCCATGTCCTCTGGTTTCCGACCCACCAGCCAGAGGAAACAATTTCTCCCTTTCTGCTCTATCAAAACCCCTCATAATTTAGAACACCTCATTTAAATCTCCCCTCGACCTGCTCTGCTCTAAAGAGAATTTAGAAAGTTGTCCATTGACTGTTTTGATTGTGATTCAAAACTCGTGGGAAACCTTCAGTTTATTATTGTCACAGATATTCCAACTCTTGGGCCACTGTTATGCAGTGAGCAGATACTAATCCTATACTATAATAAACCTTGCCTTTGATATAGCGCCTTATCATGTCTTCAAGATGTCTCAAAGCGCTTCACAGAATACACCATTACAATCTTCTTCTATCTATACTAATAAAATGACAATGTCTGTCTGTGCTTCCAGAAGGATCTCAATTGCTGATTGATGTAGAGACATGATTTATACTTCATCGGAAAGGTCTTGCAACTGGGAGTGACATGGGCATATTTGTTTTTGGGTATTTCCTATCGGTCATGAGTTATTTTCAGTTTTGCATTTTTCGCTGCAGTTACACCTGGTGGCCGCCGAGTCAAAGTGGCAAAGTGCGTCACAGAGCACGCACGGAGCCAAGCGGCGGGAACAAAAGAAAGAACACAGACGAAGCTAAGCCGGGGCAACAACAACAAAATTACTTTTTTAAAGCGTCGAGTCCTCCCACCGAGTCCTTCCACAAAGAGTCCTCCTGCAGGAGTCTTCCCAGATGAGTATAAAGACAAAATGTCTGTGTGTGTGTCAATCTACATTCCATATTGGATTATTTGGTTTCAAACAATGCTACAAGGGGTACAGCTAGAGTCTAATAAGTCTTAAAGAAATAATGATTTTTTTTAGATAATAGGGTAGTTATCATGACTTTTTCGTCACCCTGTACATGTAAAGTGAATTGATTGTATATTTTGTAGATGAAACGCGGCTGCCAATTGCGCACAGCAGTGTGCCATAGCTATGGATTGAGTGACCAAATGTGTTATTACTATTTATTTATTGTGAAGGGATAATTACCTCCAGAAAAGCGATCTCGTGTCTTATGATGTCGTTGAGACGTCTCAAAACACTTCACAGAATATATTGTAAATTGGAGTGACTGTGTATGTGACTGCGGCGAAATGAGGCAGCCAATTGTACACAGCAATGTCCCACAAACAGCCGTGGATTGAGTGACCAATTTATTATTTTTTTTTGGAAGGGATTATTATCCCAGGAAAGCAATCTACCAATCGACTAACAACTGGCTTCTTACTTACTGCTACGGGTGCACAGAGGCGAGTGGAATAAGGATACTTGCCCAATGTATCACCATGCCCAGGAATTGAACCCTGGTCCTCTCACTTGTGAGGCGAGTGCTCTAACCACTGAGCTACAGGACTCCATTTCCAAACACTACACTATGTTGCTCGTTCTGTTACAGAAGAGGGTAACATTTCAAAATTACAGTCTTTCTTTGAACTGACATAATAACAATATAATATAATCCTTGCATTTGATGTAGCGCCTTATCACATCGTCGAGACGCCTCAAAGCGCTTCACAGCATAGATTGTAAAGTGGAGTGACTGTGTATTTGTGGACATAAACGTAATAATCCCATCAGATTGGAAAATCCATTTAATGTAAATTGAGATAGCGGATGGGGTCATCAAGTCAGGCTGGAGTGGAGCTGGTACAGAGCTGCTGGTATTTGTAAACAGCATAAAATTCTGATTCCAGGCCTAATCCCGATACTGGTTTTAATGTTTGTTGGCCTGTCTGTTGCATGTTTTATCTGGTTCACCTTGGCTCAGCGATCAGCAAGCAACTGCTAGAGCAATCAAGTACTTTCTAAAGTCAAACACTTTAGGGGATGTTCCACTCAGTAAGACCAGCTATCAGTCCCCCCCCCCCCCCACCCCCCCCCGTGACTTTGAGACGTTTGTGAATTACGACTCTTTTACCGCAGGGAGGAAATACCTGCAGCTCACCAGTTAAAGCAAGATGTTTGTTTATCCTCCTGGGAACAACTGATCTTCGGAATTAAGACGCAACCTTTAAACAATCTTAACAGACTGTGATGTTGTAGTATTATTATCCTAGCAACTTTACTCTGGAATAAACACAGGATCCCCATGTTCGCTACAAATATAAATAAGTACAAGTGGAAGAGCACATTCGATGGCACAAGAGTTTGTAGTTAATCAGAAGTTCTCAGTGAAGTTCGGGGTCAAGGGCCCAAACGCTTCATTAATCAAATTAAACCATTTTAAGGCGGGGAGCAGGGGCCGTGGGGGGCAAATCGTGCTGCTTTTGATGAGCTCAATCATTTCCATCCCAGTTTAAGGATGGAACGGCAGATTAGGCTTCAGTAATCAGCAGGTGTGACAGTATGATTGTTAGACGCTGAACACAGTGGTTTGGCTGCCGTCACTGATACCCTCTGGTGATTAAGGTTACGGTGACTGATTACTGGTGAGAATAATTAACCTGCGCCGGATGGAAATAACTGTACATTTTTAATATTATTATCCATTCATTTACCAAATAAGACACATTTCATCATTTTTAGAAAAGAAAAACTGAGTGAAACAATCGCTAAAATGAGAGGGGGCCCGGGCGATGAAATCCCCCTCCCCCCACGATTGCCCCCCTCCTCTTCCCCCCCACCCCATTGATGTAAACTTTAAACAGATTGTAATGTTTTTGCTGTTTGCTGGAATGTGATTGTATCTTTTATTAAAAGCACTCGCAAGCGAAGTGAACGCGGGTCTTATTTCTTTATACTTTAAACAACAGGACAAAGTTCCCACAGTTAAACCACTTCAAATATACTGTCTCAGGCCACATTGGAGCAAGCCAGCCCGACTGAACCGGAACCAAAGTGGTTTATACACAATCACAATCATCTCAGCGTGCACTGAGCTCCTGGTAATAATAATAATAATAATCCTTGCATTTGATATAGCGACATCACATTTTAGAGACGTCTCAAAGCGCTTCACAGAATATAATGTAAAGTGTATTAATGACTGTGTAATTTGTGGGCGAAACGCGGCAGCCAATTGCGCACAGCAGCGTCCCACAGACTGTCGTGGATTGAGCGACCAAATTATTAGTTATTTTTTTATTTAAAGGGATTATTACCCCCAGAAAGTGATCCGCCGATTGACTAACAACCGGATTCCTACTCACTGGCTATAACAATAATCCCTGTGATTGCGTGTGGAGGTGATGTGTGCTGAACTCTCAGTCTGGCTTGGAGACTGAGGCATGGTGATGGGGTTCCATATAGGTGCGAGTTATTATATTCCACATAAATACAAGTTAAACCCAATAAAAACCTATTTTGGAGTTTGTGCCTCAACAGTGTCCGGAAACAAAGATTTACAAAGAAGGTACACAGTGGCAACAGGTCCAACCGGCCCGTGCCAGTGTTTCTACTCCAGTCGGGTCCTCACCCATTGCTTTACTCCCTCCCACACCCTCTATGCCCCTCTCTAGCGCTGACTGGATGCATTGCTATAATAATACTGTCAGACACAGCAGGAATCAGAGCTGTTTTCTTGGTGGTAAGTGAACACCAAACCCAGCAGCATTGGGTGTGAGTGTGTGTCTGTGAGTGTGTGTGCAGGTGTGTGTGTGAGTGTGTGTGCAGGTGTGTGTGTGTGTGCAGGGGTGTGTGTGTGCAGGTGTGTGTGTGAGCATGTGTGCAGGTGTGTGTGTGTGTGCAGGTGTGTGTGCAGGTGTGTGTGTGAGTGTGTGCAGGTGTGTGCAGGTGTGTGTGTGAGCGTGTGTGCAGGTGTGTGTGTGCAGGTGTGTGTGTGAGTGTGTGCAGGTGTGTGTGAGTGTGTGTGCAGGTGTGTGTGTGAGTGCGTGTGCAGGTGTGTGTTAGTGTGTGTGCAGGTGTGTGTGTGAGTGTGTGTGCAGGTGTGTGTGTGTGTGTGCAGGTGTGTGTGAGTGTGTGTGCAGGTGTGTGTGTGTGCAGGTGTGTGTGTGTGTGCAGGTGTGTGTGTGTGCAGGGGTGTGAGTGTGTGTGCAGGTGTGTGTGTGTGTGTGTGTGTGTGCAGGGGTGTGTGTGTGCAGGTGTGTGTGTGAGTGTGTGTGCAGGGGTGTGTGTGTGCAGGTGTGTGTGTGTGCAGGGGTGTGTGTGTGAGTGTGTGTGCAGGTGTGTGTGTGTGCAGGTGTGTGTGTATGTGTGCAGGTGTGTGTGTGTGCAGGTGTGTGAGTGTGTGTGCAGGTGTGTGTGTGTATGTGCAGGTGTGTAGGTGTGTGTGTGAGCGTGTGTGCAGGTGTGTGTGTGCAGGTGTGTGTGTGTGCAGCTGTGTGTGCAGGTGTGTGTGTGTGTGCAGGTGTGTGTGTGCGCAGGTGTGTGTGTGTGTGCAAGGGTGTGTGTGTGCAGGTGTGTGTGTGAGTGTGTGTGCAGGTGTGTGTGTGTGCAGGGGTGTGTGTGTGTGAGTGTGTGTGCAGGTGTGTGTGTGTGAGTGTGTGTGCAGGTGTGTGTGTGTGCAGGTGTGTGTGTGAGTGTGTGTGCAGGGGTGTGT